TCCTTAAAGACAGTTCTCTCTCACAGCGTACTTTCTCTCCAAGTAAACTCTGTTATCTCATCAATAAAATCGGGGTAATACTATCAACCTGCTTCTGACGCAGGGCGATAAGGAACTCCCGAGCAAGTCGTACTGTGCCTGGCAGTGATGAGTGTTGTTATTATCGCTGTGTCCGCAGGTCTGCTGTGCTCAGAACTGGATTTTTTTCCTGCACCGAAAGGTTGTTAGATCTGTGTTTTTTGCGGTGGCCTCAATCCCTTTAACTAATGTAGAATTCGGTAAAGCAAGAATATCATCCTAGACTCTCTAGTTTATAGCAGCTTGCCTTTTCTCATGGTGTTGGTATGTCTCCCTGTAGTTGGAGAATAGAAGCCACATCACTATATAAGAAAATATGGAGTGCTTCTTGATTACTTTGGGTTTGAATCTTAGCTATTTACAATTAGTGGTAAAAACATTACACACATAGGATTTTTTCCCCTCATACTTTTTATTGAGATATATTTCAAATCCCATAAAATTACCCTTTCAAGCAGGGGTGGGGGACCTCTGGCCCGCGATTTGGTCTGGCCCTGCCAAGACATTAGGAGTAAGTTAATGAAATGTTTGACCAAATACAGCAGGCTAATGTTTAAGTTGACAATTTAGTATGGCCCAAGAATGATGTTATAAATATCCAAATGGCCCTTGGCAGGAAAAAGGTTCTCCCCACCCCTGCTCTAAAGTAAATGATTCACAGAGCAGCTCCCTCGCTGCAATCTATTGAAAGTCAGCCTTCCACACAAGGTTTGTAAATAAATAAATAAGTAAATAAATAAATAAATAAATAAAAATTTTTAAAAAAGTAAATGATTCAGTTTTCACATGTTCAGAGTTGTGCAACCGTCACAATATGTAACTTCAAACATTCTCATTGTCCTTCCAAAAATGGCCACTCGTTTGTTCCCTTCCCCAGTCTGCTTTCTATTCTGGACAGTCCATGTAAATGGGATTATACCATATGTGTTCTTTGGGTATGGCTTCGTTCCCTTAGAATAATATTTTCAAAGTTCATCTATTTTGTAGTGGCATCAGTATTTCATTCCTTTTTTTCTGGCTTAGTACTATTCCATTATATGGCGATAACTACTGTGTTTATTCATCTATTATAGACATTTAGGTTGTTTGTTCATTTTGGCTATTAGATAGTATATAATCCTGCTACAAACTGTCATGTACAAGTGTGGACATATGCTTTCAATTCTCTTTGGTATATGCCTGGGTCAAACTCTATGTTTTAACCTTTTGAGGAACTGCCAAACTGTTTCCCAAAGCAGCTGCACAATTTTAGATTCCCCCGCAATGGATGAAGGTACCCATTTCTCTACCTCCTCACCAACACTTAACTGTCTTCTTTATTGTAACCAGTCTAGTGAGTATGATGTAGTATCTCATTGTGGTTCTAATTGGCATTTACTTGAGAACTGATAATGTTGAGCATTTTTGGATGTGCTTATTGGTCATTTGTATATCTTCTTTGGAGATATGTCTATTCAAATACTTTGCCTACTTTTTTATTTTTAAATATATTTTTATTGATTTCATAGAGGAAGGAAGAGGGAGAGATAGAAACATCAATGATGAGAGAGAATCATTGATCGGCTGCCTCTTGCATGACCCTACTGGGCATCGAGACTGCAACCTGGGCGTGTGCCCTGACTGGGAATTGAATGGTGACCTCCTGATTCATAGGTCAAGGCTCAACCACTAAGCCACACGGGCTGGGCAACTTTGCCTATTTTTAAATTGAGTTGTCTTTATTATAAAAGTTCCTTTTATATTCTGGGTACTAGTCTCTTATCAGATATATGGTTGTCTTTTTACTTTTTTGATAGTATCCTTTGAAGCACACATCTTTAAATTTTGATGAAGTCCAATTTATTTTTTTCTTTGGTTGCTAAATTTTTGGTGTCATATCTAAGAAACCACTGCCTAATCCAAGGTTATAGACTTATATCTTTATTTTCTCTTCATAGTTTATAATTTTAGCTGATCCATTTTGAGTTACTTTTTATATATGATGTCAGGTAGTGGGCCAACTTTATTCTTTTTTTGAGTTTTTACAGAGAGGAAGAGAGTGGGATAGAAAGCTAGAAACATCGATGAGAAAGTAACATCAATCAGCTACCTCTTGCACACCCCCTACTGGGGATGTGCCCACAACCAAGGTGTGTGCCCTTGACCGGAATCGAACCTGGGACCCTTCAGTCTGCAGGCTGACGCTCTCCACTGAGCCAAACTGGTTTCGACCCAACTTCATTCTTTTGCTCATGGATTTCCAATTGTCCTAACACCAGCTATGGATAAAACAAACAAACCCACTATCTTTTCCTCATTGAACTGTCTAGGAACCTTCATCAATATCAGTTGATTGTAAATGAATGGGTTTATTTTTACACTCTCGATTCTATTCCATTGAGGCATATGCCCACCCTTATACCTGTAGTACATTGTCTCCATTACTGACCCTTTGAAGTAATTTTATTTCAGGAAATGTGAACCCTGGCGAGTGTGGCTCTGTTGGTTGGATATCGTCCTGTCCACCAAAAGTTGCCGTTTGATTCCCAGTCAGGGCACATGTCCAGGTTGCAGGCTCGATCCACAGTAGGGGTGTGCGCAGGAGGCAGTCAGTTGACATTTTGCTATCATATTGCTGTTTCTCCCTCTCCCTTCTTCTCTCTAAAAAAACTAATAAAAACTTTTTTTAAATCAAGAAATGTGAATCCTCTAACTTTTTGCTTCTTTTTCAAGTTTGTTTTGACTATTCAAGTCTGTTTTGACTATTCTTTAATTTCTGTATACATTCTAGGATCAGCTATCAGTTTCTGTAAAATAAAATAAAAAAGGCAGTTGGCATTTTGATAAAAATTGCATCGAATCAGTAGATAGTTTGAGTTGTATTAGCAACTTTGAAGTATTCTAATCCATGAACATGAAATTTCTTTCCATTATTTAGGTCTTCTTTCATTTCTTTTAATAATATTTTATAATTTACAATATACCATTCTTATGTACTTTTGATTTATTTCTATTCACCTAGTCTTTTTAATGCTATAAATGGAATTCTTTTAACTTTATTTGCATAGTATTTGTTTCTAGTTTATATAAATACAATTGATTTTTGTATGTGGATCTTATACCCTGCAACCTTACTGAACTTGACCTAATGGTTTTAATAGTTTAATAGTTCTGTTTTTTTGTGAGGATTCTCTAGGCTTTTTTAATACACAAAATCATGTCCTCTGCAATACAGCAATCATTTTACTTCTTCTTTTTCAGTCTGGGTGTCTTTTATTTCTTTTCATGCCCTGGCAGTTTTGTGTTTGGTGTTTTGTTTTGTTTTTACTTTGTTTTTGTTTTTTTGTTTGTTTGTTTTTTTAGGAACTATCTAACTATGGCCATTGGGTATCAGAAATTTGATTCCTGTGCTCTTCCCCATTATTTCCTTACATTATTTCTGTTCTTTGTTGCATGATTTAATCTTGATTATTAAATAGAACCTTAACCTCTTCATAAATCCATACAGAACATGTCAAAAATAAGAATTCATTAGTTTGTCCCCAAGTGCTATTTTACAATTCATCCTTAAAGGTAAACTCATACTCATTTCTCTTTTCCTCTCAGTCTTGAACTCAACTGTACATATTAATCAAGTTTTAAGAGTTCTGCCAGAACTGGCTTGGCTCAGTGGATGGAGCGTCGACCTGCGGACAGGGGGGTCCCAGGTTCGATTCTGGTCAAGGGCATGTGCCTTGATTGCGGGCACATCCCCGGTGGTGGGTGTGCAGGAGGCAGCTGATCGATGACTTTCTCTCATTGGTGTTTCTGACTCTCTGTCCCTCTCTCTTCCTCTCTGTAAAAGATCAATAAAATATATATTAAAAAAAAAGTTTTAAGAATTCTTCCCCTTCCTTCTTTCTTGGAACTTTTGCATATAGGAATAAAAAGACAGCTCCAGGGTAAAATAACAAACATGAGATACAGAATGTCTGAAGAAAGCATAGCCATCTGTTTAACCAGAGGGAGGACAGCCAGGTATAAAACAGGAGGAAATGAAAAGTGGCAGAGCTTAGCGAGGATAAATTATTGTAAGTTGGATGCAGGTTAATGGGAAATAAAACACTTGGAAGGAACAGCGCAATTATAGAACTGAAAGAAAAAAAAAGAAGTCCAGCCTGAATATTTTAAGCAAAATGGGGTAAAGGGTGGAAAGCCAGATATTGATGAAGAAAATGCCACCGTTAACTTAATTAAGGACTGGCAAGACCTCAATGAATATAGATTTGACTTTGGATGCATTGACTTAACCTGAGAGAATCTTGCTTCTTGTTCACGGTGAGGACAACCTTACATTAGAAAGGAGGAGTTGGTTCTAGGAAACTCTTGGAAGCCTAAGTGTTGGCTTCTGTTGGAGGATAGGGCTTCTTCCAATGGTAAAAAGCCAGCCTTCTCTTTTCCACCTGAGGATTCACAGAGAAAGTAGTAAAAGTTAAAGCCTTTCTCCCTGCTGTTGTCAATCAGCACTTCCAGGAAGCCACTTTATTCCAGGGTTGACCATTTTGGAGGAATGACCTGGCCAGCCTAGCCTAGGCTGCATTATAAAAACCTGCTTTTCCGGAGTGGTTTTCCTGCTGCCAACTTCCTCTTGAGTCCATGTGACCATGTGACACACAAGAGACCTGGCCAGGGCCAAGTGCCAGGGCCAGAGTGTCAGCTGGTATCACTGTGGCTGCTTTAATGGCAGCAGACTGCTGGTTTCCTGTGCCAAGACTGAATTTAACCTATAGTTACCCTTAGCAAAGACAGGGCGGGTTACTAGGCTATATGAGTCAATCATTGTAGCTTTTTCTCCTGTGTTACTCTTAAAGGTACAGGAACAGGACCCAGATATCATGGTGGACCAGAGATAAGTCCCAGGAGACTTTGAATCACACCCAGAAAAGCTCACAGACACAGCGCAGTCAGATTCACTTCACTTTTATTATGAACAAACACAATGTTAGATAAGTACAACTAACCTCAGAGTTATTAATAGAAATTATTCCAAAATTATTCTTAGGTCACAAATAACTACTATCCCACATTAAAAAAAAAAAAAAAAAAAGGAAAAATCCCACCCAATCAAGGAACAGGTGTCCTGTGTCTATTTCCATGACAATGAGTTTATGCATTCTCAAATTTTGTCTGGCTAGTTATCTACCACTTATCCAATGGACTTATTCAATTTCTCAGAGAAAACCATATAGATTAATGATAGCATCTGGGACACATGGTTCACGGCGGACACAAATTCATGGTGGATACTACTAACTATAAAAATACTCAGGACTTAAGAGATTTCTCTGCTGAAGGGTCCCAAAATGCTTTATATAAAGCATTAGTCACACCTCAAAACTGCCCTTTGAGGTAGGTCAGTATTATTACCCCCATTTTAACAGAAGGAAAACTGAGGCACATTATTGTTAAGAGACTTGCCCAGGGTCACATAGCAAGTCAGTGGCACAGTGGTAAGAGAGGCGTTGGCCTTAACCGCCTGGCTAAAGTTGATATCTTGCTTTCTTTAACCTTTCACGCTGACCCATTTAAGCTATCCTTACAGAGAATACACTCAGGATACTAGAAAACCAAGGAGAAAAAGTTTCCATTTTAAATTCTACAAGCATCTTTTTAATCTAAATAAAAACCAAATACATTCAATTACTTCCACCCGCCATCAAATGTGGGCACTTAATAAACACAGACCTAAGAAAAGTTTCCAAAATGAAGCCCAGGAGGGAATCCTGGGAACAGCTGTACTGCTAATTCCCCAGCCAAGCCCCCCTTTCCACCAGCCACTTCTGCAAGCTCTCAGGTGCAAAGGAACTCCACAGAGGAGCAAGGAGGGAGTGAGAGCAGGCTCATATGCAACACTGATTAGAAAACACGTAAGGCACCCAAATAAGTTGTCAGCACACCCACAAAGCAAGGACTGTTAGAAATTCACACTTGATCAGATCTGGGTTTCTGGATCATTAATGCATTATTTGAATTCAGCTTGAGAATCTTGAGAACTGTTCCTTATTCAGCAGAGACCTCCCCCGCCCCCTCCTAACCCTACCCCACATCCACATATACACTAGGGCCTTCAACCTGAGGACTCCAATCAGCCTTGGGTAGGCAGGGTCATGGTGTGGATCAGATCCATGGAACATGATTAGAATAGAAAGATAAAGTTGTTTCTGATCATAAATTATAAAGTAGGCATCTGGTGACCTGTGGCGTTAAAACTATCCAATAGACATTTCCCAGGGGTAGGTGCACAGGTCAACAGATCGAAACTACAGTGATCTTCCGTTTGATTCTTTTCTACTGAGAGGAACAGCTCAAAAGACAAAGATGCCTTTAGACCAGGCTCATCCCTGTAGCCTCTATCTACTCAGCAAACACAAAACGAAAGGCCCTCTTCCCTTCCACCGTTCGGTTTCAACAGTGGACAGAGCATTTGGTATCATACATTTTCAATCTTGACAAAGAAAAGCCCAGGCTTCTGCATTGATGACTGGGGTACAGGGACAGGAGTGGCCCAAGGTTCTCAAAACACTGATTTTTATTTTTTATTTTTTTCTTAGACCTCTTCTACACTATTGGCTACTCTAGGCTGTGCTGTAGGGAATGCTGGTTAGTTTGCTGAACAGAGACGCCGCTCAGCAAAGTTCATGGCATCTCAGATCCCAAGTCCCAGCCAAAGCTTTGCAGTGTACCCTGGCTCCAGGGAATGAACAGGGCCTTCTTTCAAGCGAGGCACTTTGGAACTTGCCTTTGTTTCTTGTGCTTCCCAGTGAAGGCTAGGCTCCCTCCTACTTCTACCGGCGTTGCCGTCAGCCGGGAGCACAGACTAAAGCTGGGCAGGGTAAATAAGCAAGCAGGGGGCGTCCAGTATGTTCTCTCGTTCTGACCCAGACAGAGGAGACGGAAAACAAACTCTCTTTTGCTCCAGGGCTGGCTCACTAGCATGATGCAAGCATTCGGCTTGGCTGTGCCTCATGAGAGAGAGAGTGGAGAGAGAGAGAGAGCCTGAGCCAGGGATGTTCCTACTAGGGTTTGCCAGCCTTGTCTTGAGTCATCACTGTGGCAGGGGATAATAGGACTGTAGGTGGAGAGACTCTGGAGGCCAGGTGAAAGTGGCAGCCAGGGCAACTTGATAAAGAGAAACAGTGGTGCAGTGACCCTGAGCATTCTGTCTGCCTGGACAGCACTCGCCAGCACTGCCTCCGAATACACAGAGGAGGCTGCCTGTCCAGAGAAAACAAGAAAACGTCAGGGGACAGGTAGAACCGGGAGGAGAAATGGACAGATTGGGTAGAGCCAGGAATCAAGAACCAGGGTAAAAAGACTTCTACTCGCCCCCAGGCAGTTCTATATTTTGGCTAGATCAGTGATTTTCAATTGTTGTGCCACAAGCATTTTTTTAAAAACATGCAGCACCTGACTGTTTAGTCAGGGGCACTGACCTCTTTTTCCTTAGATTGTCAAATATAAAAATGACAACAGCCAACACGACAAGAGCTGTCTGGTGTGGATCACTCAAAAGTATACCTTTTGTTGTTGTTAGATTGGCAAAAATATTTTTTTTGGTGTGCTGCAGAATTTTAGTAATTAGTGTATGTGTGCCATGAGATGAAAGAGATTGAAAATCACTGGGCTACCTGTTAACAGAAGAAATGAGTGAAACAGTCTGACACTACGGCAAAAAGCCTCCTAGTTTCTACTTATTCTGAGGAGAAATGGGAGTCAATGAGTGAACCTAACAACTAACTTGTTTGGATAACCAGCTTTCCTATTACGACACCCAATAATTTACTTAGTAAGCTTCTGAATCCAAATCCCCAGACAATGCATTCTCAAAGTCCTTCTACTGTAAAATAATCTCTCAGGAACTGCCCACAGACCCTGCTCTTCAACCTCTCCATCCCCTATTCTCTTCTTCAAGCATCCCTCTCTCAGAGGGAAATACTCTGAGTGAATTAATATTCTAAGCAAAGTATATCTGTATATATATAAATATATGTATTTGTTTAACCTACTTCCTAAAATCCTTCCTTTTTTGGAATGCTCACCATTATACCACCAATACATTCCTTTTTTGGATGTCTGGATATGCTGCAGCTACCGCATTACTGAGTAGAGCTGACCAGTATCTCAAGGGTCAGATGGCAAAGTTAGAAAGATGAAAGAATTTTGATGATTCCAGGAGCTGCTGGATTCATCAATTCTGGAAACAACCAACCTCAAGACTTTCTGATATATGAAGTAAGAAATTTTCCTGTTATTAAAGGGAAAAAAACTCCTCCATTGAAGATCTTTTGTATTACAAGCTAAATGCTTTTTCTTTATCTCCATCCTAGAGTCTATTGGGACCTAAGATTTGCTCCTGTGGTCTAGCACTGCCAAGCTCCATGGCCATTCCCCACTCACAATCAGGAGAGAAAGGAAGCGTGCTGGGCAGTGGGGCTCAATGGCCGAGTGGGCAGGCAGCGGTGTGTTTGATCACCTCAGGAGCTTCTTCTTGCTTTGTTTCCCACCTTACTTATCAATCGTACCATGCATGCTAACTCTCTCCCCTGACAATTTACCTGCTTTAGAAGCTTTGTGACAAATAAAGTTGTTCTTCCATTCCATCTAGCAAAAGTCTGAAATGAAAATAACTAAGAGGGGTCTTCCCAGAAGATTTTGTCAAATCTCTAGCTTGAGCCACCTACCTTGAAGCTTAGAACATCTCAAGGAAAAAGAGTTATCTGGGGCAAAACCATTAGTTTGGGATGATAGAAAGGTTGTCTAGACTTCAGAAGCTAGATACCCACCACTGCCTCACCAGCTGCTTGTCTGGGAGGCAATGAGGAAGAAGAGAGAGGAAGGTGATAGGAAAAAAGCAAAGAAAAGGACCATGGGTCTAGAAGACAGGGAAGAAAAGAGAAGAAAGAAGAGTATCAGCTTAGCATCATGAAGGCAGAGTTGTTGGCTTTCAATACTTTTGAATTTTAAAAGAATACTGGAATGGGTTAACCTCATCATCTTTAGCATCCTGGTAGCATTATTCAGTAGTTAATAAAAAGAACATTAAAACTCTGCCTGGCTGGCTTTTGAAAAGGAAAATGGAGGACCCCAAACTCAGCCACTCTTGTAGCTTCCATCTCCAGTTCTCTTAATCTTGGCCAAGACAGCTGCCTTGGATACTTTCTTCCGGTCGTAAGCCAGGCCGAGGGCAGCCATGCAATCGATGAAGAATGTGGTTAGGTTGATGTGCCAGCGGTATTCACTGGTGGAGTAGTCATAGGGGAAGGAGTGATGGTAGTTGTGGAAGCCCTCACCTGAAACCAAAAAACAAAGAAAAAAGTTAAGGTGCTCTACAGTGAACTGCTGTCTTCCTGATCTTGGAACATCAGTTACCTAGCAGAGTACCTCAAACCTAGTAGATACTTGCTGTTGTTGAATGAATGAATGAAACTAGTCTCTTCTACTCTGAACCAAATAGATCCACTCAGAGGCTTCTTAAGAAAAAAAACGGGGAGCCCTGGACAGTGTTTCTCAGTGGTTAGAGCACCCATCCTCGCATCAAAGGGCCTCAGGTCCATTCCCCATCAAGGGCATGTACCTGGATTTCAGGTTCCATCTCCTTGCTGCAGCTGGAGACAACCAATTAATGTGTCTCTCTCATATCTATTTTTCTCTCTGTCTCTACCTCTCTTCCTTCTTACCTCCCTTCCACTTTCTCTAAAATCAATGGAAAAATATCTTTGGTGAAGATTTAAAAAAAAAAGGAAGAAATGAATAGGGAGACCATGGTCAACCATGGATTTCTGGGAGCCATTGTGTGAGGACTGGCAGTTTCTCTCAGAGTATAAGATGACTAAAAACAAACTATCACTGGAAATGGATTTTAGGTCGGAAAATCCCAGAGCTTTACTAAATATTGGTCTGAGATCCTCACGGCTCTGTGTGTGTGTGTGTTTGTGTTTGTGTGTGTGTGTGTGTGTGTGTGTGTGTGTGTGTGTGTGAGAGAGAGAGAGAGAGAGAGAGAGAGAGAGAGAGAGAGAGAGAGAGAGAGAGAGAGATAGGGTGGGAAGATGAGAGAGTCTAGAATAAAGAACATTTGCTGTGTTTCTTACAAAGGTGAGCAAGGGAGTACACCTGCACTGGAACAACCTACAAGCGTGTGAGAGAACCACAGAATTGGGCAGCAATAGCCGAAAGTCAGAAGAAAGGAGGCCCAGCCTAGGGCTCGAGTGTCCTCGGCCACTACTGGTTCAGTAGACTCTCTGACTTCAAATTCTTTGAGCTTTGACCCTGGTGTGATGGTGATGCAGATACAACAGAAGCTCTCGGAGGGAGTCAGAGGCAAAATGCTTAGAAACTCCCTCTAACTTCTGAGATGAGCAGTTCTTTTTGCTGGATGGAGAAAAAAACCCACAAAATTCTGGATTCGGGATAATTTCTGTAATGGATCAAACTTTGGAAACTCCACAGAGTGTTTCTCCAATCGTTGGCAGAACTCTTTTTTCTGAACCACATTCAATAATAACAATACTGAGCCTTATGAGGCTGTGGTAAAGCCGGGTAAAAAATAGCTAGTAAAAGAGCATATCAAGTCCTTTGAAGATAAAAGAGCCTTCAAAGGAGCCATAATGATATTAATAACGCGCAAGTAAAGGAAGTCCCGCAAAGTAAATGACACCATCCAAGGCATCTCAAGGTGTGTCCTCTCTCTGTAACGTGGACTCTGAGACAGTGTGAACTGAGTAGGAGGGTGGAAAGATCCCAAGACTAAACGTACTGAGAGAGGATTTCTCATTTCCCTCAATGGCTCTGCACCAGGCTCTATATAAAGCACTAACCAGGCCTATACTTATCAGATTGAAAACTGAATCAGACACACACATAGCCAAAGGGACGGGGGGGAGGGGAAGGAGAGTCAATAGGGAGAAGGACAAGACTTTGCAACTGGGGCAGCAAGATACAGCCCAAGAAAGGCTCAAGGGAGGTCAGCTTTGTCAGAGAGAAGATGAGCATGTGACTGTGGGGGAGGTAATTCAAGAAGAAAAGATTAGAAAGGCAGGAAGCGAGCTAGAGGAGAACAAAAGGGGAGGTGATAAGGGAGGAGAGCAGCAGGTACAAATAAATAACTGAGACAAAATAAGATATTGGGAGCCACTTTGTTTTTTGTGGGGGTTGTTTGTTGGGCTGTTTTTTTCCACAAGGGAGCTACTCGGAACTAGTGGTCAGAAAGAGGCTGCAGTTGGGGAAGCTCACTGTAGACCCATTTGCAGTACAGGACAACTCTCATTCCAGAAACTTCCATGTCTATGAAAACCTCAGACTTATATGGCTTAGGTGATTTACTTCAAACATGGTTCAGAGTAAAAACATGCACAATGTAGATGGTGCCTGAAAGGAGAGGGGAGAGGCATGACAGTTAAAAAGAAAGAGGGGAAAAATACTATTGGAGTACAGTCAGTACCCAGTGAAGATGGTCAGGGTTGAGACTATAAAGAGAAAAGGGTGAATTTAGGCCATGATATGCATAAACACATGGAACAGTGAGTTTGCTCACTGATCAACGGTGAGGAACAGGAGGCCACTGGGTTTCCTCAAGGAGGGCTAATTCCAGGCCTTAGTGATGGCTCTATTTAGTTGAAAACAGTGACAGAAAAAATCAATTGGAGACAGATTGTAGAACTCTGGCTATTAGAACTCAAAGTATAAAGAAATAACTTCAGCCAAGATCGGTTTGGCTCAATGGATAGAGCGTCGGCTTGGGGACTGAAAGGTCCCGGGTTCAATTCCGGTCAAGGGCATGTGCCTTGGTTGTGGGCATATCCCCAGTAGGGGGTGTGCAAGAGGCAGCTGATCGATGACTCTCTCTCATCGATGTTTCTAACTCTCTACCCCCCCCCCCTCCTCTCTGTACAAAAATCAATAAAATATATTTAAAAAAAAAAAAGAAGTTTTTTTAAAAAAAAAGAAATAACTTCATAAATAGCAAGCATTCGATCAATTAGCAGGCACTTGTGATTAAACTAACTGCTTTATCAGGGGTTCCCTAAGCCATTCTTAGTAAAGAATAAAGCAGAAGAGACAAAAATCAAGGACAGGAGACAAGCATGGTATGGCCACCAATAGTAGCTTTGTTGTCCTTCAGATTGGCATCCCCAGGCAATAAGGCATGGCATACACTTAACGTATGGCCTACCTGAATATAAAATAGCAAAAAAAGATATATAAAAGAAAAGTTAACTGAATTAAATTACAAGTATTCTACATCTGACATGACATATACACCACTAGGGCATATTGGCCATCCTGAGGGCCCAATTCTATTTATATCGATTTATACTTCCCTACAATCCAAACCAGACACAACTGGAAAAAGGAAAACCCAGAGGGGGCTCATTATATGTAACATTTGGGAATTGTTTAAGAACCTAGCATCAAAGGCATTGCTATATTTAACCTTTCCTTTTTATTTAAGACTTGTGGCCTGGCTCTCAAGAGTTTTCTCATATATTGCCTCTTAGTTCTAGAGTGAAAAAAACAGATAGAAAGAGGTCATAAAGCAAGTTAACCTGGTTTTTCTGGTTCCCAGCCCAATACCCAGACAGCAGACCACTAGATGTGGTCTAGCTGTGGACTGCTGACTTACCCACAGCTCCCAGTGAAACCAGGATATTCTCCCGTGGGTTAATGTTCTTGTCGTAAGGGCGATATCCGTAGAGGTGGGCAGCGCTGTTCACCAGCCAGGTGGCATTGAGCACAATGGCATACCGCAGGAAAGTGGCAACATACAAGCTGTGTTTGAAAGTTTCACCCCAGAAATACCAGGGCACAAGTGTGGGCAGGATGAAGCACATCAGCAGGACAGCAGGCTTGTAATGCCTACATTGAGAGTTCATACACCAAGTCAGCAGACAGGACATAGACCTACTGATTTCCATCATCACTGGGTTGGGCTGTCTCTTTCCTTCCACATTGTGAGGACAGTGTGGCAGGAAACAGAGCAAGAGGGATGGGGTGGGAAATCTTGTGAGAATGTGGTGTCATTATCTCACTTTTTAGATGAGGTAATGAGGGGTTAAATGACTTTTCTAGGATTGCACCACAAGGAACCAGTGGAACAAGGATTGGAATGCTGATCTCCTGATTCGAAAGTCATTGCCTTTTTTTTTCTTCTTCCTTTTTTTTCCTTTTACTATAGCACAATTTCATGTGAGTAAAATAGGCAAGGTCCATATTATAAACGAATACACTGAATTCTCCTGCCCAGGCTGTTTTTCCATTCTGTCCTTGGGCTTCTTTCTCTTTCTAATCAATGTTCTTTGCAGAGTCCATGTGTAGTGTCTTGCCTCCACTTCCTGCCAGCCAGCCTCTAACCACTCCTCTTCTTTTCCCTCAGGATCTCTGATGCCTCCAGATCCCCTGAAGGTCCTGTCCCATTATTCAGTCTCTCCTTGAAGGTAAGACCAGACCAGTGACTTGATTTCCTGCATCTCTTCAGCAGTCAAGCCTTATGCTCTTATACCATTGGCATTCCTGCACCCAACTCCTTTCCATTCTTGCCACTGCTTCCCTAGCATGGGTCCTCACTGCCTCCTAATTTGCGGCCCTGCTTCTCACCTCTTTGGCTCATTGGTTTCTTCACCTGTCATGAGAGTGATCTTTCTGAAGCACGCCTCCAACCATCACAGATTCCCAATCAAAAAACTTATAATGGTCTTCCATTGCCTATGAAATTAAATCCTAAGTCTGCTTTTAATGGCCCCAGTCTCCCTCTATAGTCTTAATCCTACCACACCCTATACTTCAAGCAAAAGGACTCTGTTGCTAGAACATATTTCAGGCTTAGATCATTCTGTTCTGTTTGTACTGTTTGTCTCTCTCCCCTGACACCTGTGAAAATCTCTATCCATTAGTGGATTCCAAAGCTACTTGCTTCACAAATGGTTCCCTGACACTCCCCACTATGCAGTCTCCCTCCCCTTTGTGTCTCTGACTGGTACAGAAAATATTTTGCCATGTATCATACTTATTCAGACACTTGGCTTATACTTTTACTCACCAGTAGGCTACAAACTCCTTGAAGGTAAAGACTATGGCACAATCATCTTTGTACCCATGACTTCCTAGGCCAGTAAGCATTAGTTGAATTTTACTGGCCTAATTAAGAAGTTCAGAAAGAATAATATTCTATAGCTGTAGACTTGGGGACTCTTTAAAAATTAGAGTTTTAAGTTATGATTTTTGAATATGCAAACCCAGTACATTTCTCAGTTTATGTTTATAAGTCCTGGGAGAAAAGGGGTGAGGGGGCTCCCCAAACACCAAGTTCCCAGCTCCATCCCCCTTCCACTCACCTCCTCTGGAACATCAGCAGCTTCTCAGCCTTCAAGTCCGACAAGTCTAGCAAACCACCCTTCTCTTTGACAGCTGGGTGTTTGCGCACCAGCAGCCAACCCACGTGGGAGAAGAAAAAGCCACGCCGGGCATTGTGGGGATCAGCATCTGTTTCTGAAAACTTGTGGTGAACACGGTGATCTCGGGCCCATTCATAAGCATCATTCTGGAGGGACAGAGAAGAAGACTACTGTAGGCCTCAGGAGAGACACCCTCTTAGGGGAATCCCAGTGGATAGACATCTTCAAGGGCCCATGACTCTCAGCACAACCTCACAAAATACGCAGGAGCCGGGGCTCCAAAGGAGGGTCACGGAGTAGCCGCCTCTTTCCCCCCAACTTGCCACTGAAGCTTAATTGGAAAAGCAACTTGAAGTCCCAGGACGGCATAAATAGGACTGGTTGCTTCATAAAGATTATACAGTGGGCAGAATGGAGGTAGATCACAGAGCTCAATTTCATTAGGAGAGGACATGGCAGTTCCTCTAGCAAAACATGTTGGAAAAGGTCTTCGTGGGGTGCCTAATCCCTGGGCAGGGCGAGCAAGGCAGACAGCCTTGCATCCTAGGGCCCTGGTCAGTGGATAAAGCTGCAGGGAGCTTCATTCTGATGCCTTGGCAAGAGACAGCTCACAACTCAGCAAGACCAGACACATAAATCATGAGCGTGGCCACATTCCCAAATGATCTCTGGGCTTCTCTGGGACTCTTTCCATCCCTTAAAGAATGTGTCAATATCTCTTTCTTACCTTTGTCCCAATATCAGGAGCCCTCCAGGTATAAAGTAATATGGCACCGATGATTACATAACTATGGTAAATGCTACCTAGAGTATTGCCATGAAGAAGGGAACAAGTTCAGTGGCCTCTTTTCCCCCTCTGCTCCAAGCTGAGCCCCACACCCCAAGCTATCCTTTGTCCATTGCCACCGCTTAATAGCTATGTGTCTCCTTTCCCCAGTTTCCTTCATTCTATCTCTGCTATAGCTTTCTGACTCAACAAACTTCCATACAGCCTGGCAGCCCAAGACAGGACCATATTGTTGGTCTCCCTAACCTCTCCATGACATAATTTTCTTATCTAGAAAATGGGAATAAGAATAGTACTCACCGCCTAAGAGAATTTAATAAGGTAAACTATGTCAAGGGCTTAGAATAGTACCAGGCACACACTCAGTGCTATAAGTATTTGCTGTCATCGCTGGAAAACAACAGAATTCCTGAGTCTGTGAAACATCCACTTCAGTCCCATCATGGTGGAGCCCTAAGCTATTCACCTAAAATGGTGAGTCTATTGTCCAATGCCTTGCAGACTCTGAGAATGAAGGACCCCAACAGCCAGACTTTGTGACAACAGAGGAACCATAGGAAAAGATAGGAATATATATTTCCTAGTTATCTCCTAGTTCTCTTTTCTAGACTCAGAAATGTGCCCATGCTTTATGGACTGAAGGCCTGAGCCTGCACCTGAGGTGACCACCAGGAGAGAGGAGAGTGAAATGGCTGTCCAGGTGTTGCTCCTCTGCAGGTGCTGATCTCCTCCATCCGCCCCTGGTCACTGGCAGAGTGGAGGGAAGGGCTGGGCAGAGCTGGCTTCCTACCTGGAATGCCATTGTGTTGGCGATGATCAGGAAGATCCGCAGAGGCAGCCGAGCCTTGTAGCTCCGGTGGCTCCACAGGCGATGGGCTCCCGCTGTTATACCCAGAGCACTGATGATGTAGTAGGCGAACCCTGCCAGGCGGAAACAGTGAGAGGTCAATCATCTGGAGAAACATTCACAAGTGGTTCTCTGTATGTTGGATGTGTCTTCAGAGGCTTTTGGGGGGATCTGCTTTTCCCTGAGGTCCAGGGACACCTTGGTCTCTTAGGTCTCTCTGATTTTATTACTTGAAAGAAAAAAAAAACCCATCACCTCTCACCCTCTCCACCTAGGAATTGGAATAAGCTAAGAAGTTTCAGGAACTTTTTTTGATTTCAGAGGAATGGAAAGGGAGAGAGGGATGGAAATATCTACGATGAGAGAGAATCACTGATTGGTTGTCTCCTATGTGCCACACACTGGGGATCAGGACCACAATCTGGGCATGTGCCCCAACCAGGAATGGAACCCTGACCTCCTGGATCATAGATTGGCACTCAACCACTGAGCCATGCCAGCCGGGCTGTTGCAGGAGCTTTAGAAAGGCAGGACAGAGAAGAGCTTGCTACCCAGCGCCTGGCCACTCTTAGTCATGAGGATTATTATCTCAAGCCCCATCTCCTTTGAACTTCAGCTAAGCTTCCCCCAGTTTTTAAGGACCACAGACCACTCCTACAGAGCTTAGGACCCATAACCAAGGGTGGTCCCAAACAATTTAATAGTCAGTAGAGTCTGGGCACTCATCAATCCAAGGGGCTCTGGGTTCTAGAGGACACCCAGGGGCTCAGAACTACGGCTATTTCCCAACTGATCCAAAAGCATTTCAGTATTTTAGCAGGCAGTGTGACCATATCAGGGGGACAATCTGCCCTTCACATAAGTCTTATCTCTGCACAGCTTAGCTAAGAATTTTACAATATATTCTCTGATTTTCTGGTTCCTTTGAATGGACTTTAATAGCCTCACTTTGCAGTTGAAAGAAAAAAAAAAAAAGACACTCATAGAGGTTGTGTTTATCTATGGTCACAAGGCCAGTAAGAAATGGAGCCATAGTTTGAAACTAAGAGTTCTGTTAACAAGCATTCATGTTCCAACTATACCATCCACCTCCCCAGGATATGTACAGAGTTCCTGCGTCTCTCCTTTGCCACACCCCTCTGTCAGCCCCCACTCTCTCTGGCAAGGCTCATTTTAGATGGTGGTGGGATATGCTCAGAACTGTTGGTGGAACATCCCAACACTGTCCTCCCTCACCTTCCTGGAGGCCTGCCAGCTCAGGAGGTGCCAGCTATAATCTCTAACTGGGCAGTGGGTTGCTGGCTGTACCCATATTCCTCTGTTCAGTAGCTCTAAGAGGCAGAGGCTGAGTAGGGCCTTGGTAGAGCAGTTGACTGTTGACAATGTTTCATTCCTAGGACTACAGCTCAAAACAATGGGTCCTCAGTGGCCACAGAATTTAGTTGCAGTTGGAGACACCACATGGTGTAACAAATTGTCCTGTGTTCTTTCTCCAGCCACAGATAACAGTTTCCTAAACAAATATCCCCTACCCCCCATCCTATCTCCCTCCACCCTATCCTATTCCTCCTACAGGATCCCACGGGAGAGGGAGAGCCCTGGAGCCAGAGTCTATCCCAATGACAATTCTGTCTCTAATCCCTTTGCTACGTGACTTGCTGGCCTTAAGCCATGTGACTGTTTGCTCCCAGATGCAAAATCTACCTGCACCCGCAGCTGGAAGAATGACAGTTGAGCCACAACCACACGAAGAATCATCAATGAAGAAGAAAAACAGCTTTGGGCAAGAACACAGCACTTAGCTCAAAATGAAGGAAGCTACTGGGGTTGTTTCATGCCACAGATGACCCTGTGAGCTAACTCAGAAAGCACTTAAGATCCTAGTGTTAACAGGGGAAGTGGGAAAAGAATCCAAGCATTCTAGTGCCTTTTTTATCTACACATCTAAGCCTAGCAACTAGGAGGAGGCTCATTCTCTACTAATGTCCAAATTGATGGTTAAGCAAAATCTCATAGCTCTGGCCCTAAGGGAAGGGAAATTTTGCCCCTCGGTCCTCAGTGATGCCAGAGAGATGCCTTCAGGCTGCCCCGACGGCCCTTCTGGGAGTCTCTCTAAATTGCTCAGTCACCAGAAATGCTGTAATCACAACCAGTTGTTGATTTAATACTGTCCTTGGGGATAAAAGGAAAGGCTGAGGCCAAGCTCCTAAACTCTGAAAGTGGGACCCCTGACGGTCCCTCTCTCCTTCTTGTTTCTTAAGACAGAGCAGTTCTGTTATCCCCATGCCAGGATGGTGATCAGTCAGCCCAACCACCCACCACAAGGTCCAGGGGAGGAGTACAAAAGGTCCCCATCCAGTCTCCGTGCCACATTTCCCTGCCCAAAGGCACCTGGGCAGGGCACATAAAGGTAGTGGGCACAGCCTTGGATTGGGGATTGCACTCTGCCCCCTGCTCCAGCAGCCGAGGGTGAGGGGCAAGCAGAAGCAGCCTGGCCAAACTGTGGACTTAGCCAGGCCTACAGGGAGTGCTGAGGCTGGAAGGGGCTTGCGGGCTACAAACCTACTTGTGAAGACTCCGCTTTTGGGTAGGAGGGTAGAGAGCTGAAGTCTGGCTGGGACCTCAGAGGGGCTAGAGAGCAGAGAGAAGGGCCCTTCCTGGTCTGCAGAAGAGCCTCAGCAATGGGAAACCTGTAACCCAAGGAGCACTACCTTCCTGATCCTAGAAAAGTACCGTTGTCCCAGTTTGTACCCGGAAAGATGGAGATCCGAGGAGAAGGGATCTCTACCCAGTTGCATTTCACTGTCTGAGGCACTGAGAGGATTTCCCAACACAAAGCTCTAAGGACCAGATCCCACCACCTTTAGGCGTAAAAGGTCCTGGGAGAATCAGCTCCAACTTGGCCTACTAGCCCTTCTACGTAACTACCCTCCAAGAGTGCAGCTCTCAGCAAACACCCCAACCCTAACATAGTTTCCCAGAGAGAATTCAGTTCACCACCCTCGGAGAGTGGCAATGTGGGGCCCCTGGGTCCTTAAGAGTTCCCTCATCTCCCGTCCCCAACGCAGGCTTATGATGGCAGAGGTGAAAATGCCTGCAGAGCGCATGTGTGCTTCCAGGGGGCAGGGCGCCGCTCTCTGCTCATACCCATGGATCCTGAAAAAGCTGAGCTAAGGGCAGGTCAGGGACAGAACTCCCTCACTGCAGCAGCCTCGCAGGAGACTCGAGGCTGGGGCTGCTGAGGACTCTCTCCTGGCCTGGTCTGGCTGTCCAGGCAAGGAGAGACTTCATGGCATCGGGAGCTGAAGCTGGAGCAGGCTAGGTAGGAAATGGGACATGAAGCAGTGCTTCCACCTCGTTGCAATCAAAGGACTTTTCCCTGAGTGGTGTGTACCGTGCCCTGGGACCTGCAGGGAGTCACTCCATCTGTTTAACATGTTTCCTACAGGAGCTTCATCTTCCTAACAAAGGAGGCTGGTGGGCCAGGGTCAGGGCACACACCTTTGTGGGTAACCACCTCTCGGTTCCTCCCTCTCCTCCTCTCTTCCTGAGCCATTTTTCTTGCTTTCTCACGACGTTGCTCCACCTATACCACCCCCAAACCACTGGTCTCACCCCATGTTCCCAGCTAGGGGCCTTGAGTCTTTGGTGGATGGTGGGGCTGGGACAAGCAGCCAAGCAAATGGCTTGAAACAGAAAAGCTCTTTCAGGGAAAGCCTACCCTCTGGCACAGGTCTACCCGCTCCCTCCCCAGCATCCACGTGTAAAGACCCCCAGCATTGCCACCCCTGCCTCCCTGCCCCCCTAGCCTCTGCCCCCAAGCCACGCAGCCTCTCAGGAATTGTAGGGCCAGTACTTCTGTTCCAGGTGAGCTCCTGTCCCGTTAAAGGGCAAAGGGAACCTGGCGCCTCCGGGCAGGGGGACGAGCAGCACTCTTACCCCAGAGCCAGGTGTAGACCTTGCAGGTGGGGATCAGGATGATGCCGTACAGGGCTCCCAGGTGCAGCAGCGACATAAGGATGATGTTCCTCCAGACATACTCAAGCTTGGGCCTCGGGCCCTCCTTATCCTTGTAACTTGGGTCAAAGATGTCGTCTTTCATTTCGGGGCGGATGTCTTCCTCCGGGTGCAGGAGATTCTTCTCCGGGTTGCTTTCTCCATTCTGCAGGACCCGGGCGGGAGGCTCGGTGATGGTGGTGGTGGTGGTGGAGGAGGAGGATGCATAGGAGCTAGCCATCTGGCAGGGAGAGGAAGCGGAGGGTCAGGGGAGAGGAGGCTGCACGTGGAGGTAGCAGGGGCCACGTCACTCTCATCCAGCTGGAGGAAGAGCGAAGGGTTGGCACAGACCCTGCCCCAACCTACCCAGGCGGGGGTAACGGAAGGCGGGGTCCACCCCAGATGAAAGCAGAGGAAGTCCCCAGGAAACTATGCAGAGAGATTGGGGAGGGGGGTGAACCTTCAAGGTGAAGGAGAACACTTTCACCCATGCGGACACACAAAGGAACCCCCGCAGGCATTACAGACGCAAGGGTGCCGCCAGCCACGACCCGGTTTTCCTTTGAAGCGTAAGAAACAAAAGTTGGGGAACCAAGTCCCTCAAATTACGACGCAGATCCCCAGCAAATGAAGGCAGCACAACTCGCAAAAGATGGCTCTGTCCTCCGCGGGGATCTCCGCTCCTCCGTCCACGAGTCACCTAGAAGCCGGGCCAGCTGGGGCGCCAAGCGGCCAGGGAGCCCGGGAGCCCGGGAGCCCGGGAGCCCGGGAGCCCGGGAGCCAGGCTGGAAGGAAACTCACCTCCTCTTGCAGCAAGTGGGCCGGCATCTGCGCTCTCGGATGCCTGGGGTCACTCTCCCAGGGCTGAGGCTGCGCAGCGGAGTTCGGGGCAGCGGAGAGATGCCGGTGGCTGAGCCCGCGTTGGCGCTCGGAGGGGTGGCGGTGGCGGTGCGTGGCGGGCGGTGCGCGCTGGATCGGTGTCCGTGGACCCGGTGCGTGGCTCTCCCAAGGCTGGGGATTTAAAGGCTAGATGAGCTGGCAGGGGATGGCCGTGCCCCGTATTTCCTCAGACTCCTTTTATTCGCTGCCAACAGGGCCAAAGTGCGCGGAGTTGGCTCGCGGCGGGACCCCCGCATGGGCGGGGAGGGGAGGAGACAGAGGCGAGGCGTGCTAGGGGCCGGCCACGCACAACCTGGATGCTGCAGGCATACCGCGGCCCGGCTGGCTCCGCAGCCGCAGCCCGGCCCCCGGGGAAATGCTAATGGGCTCCGGTAGACGCTGGCGCGCCATTGGCCGAAGGGAATTTGGTGCCACCTCGTCCCGCCGCTGCCATTGGCTCGGCGCAATCTGCTGTTCCCTCTGCCGCCAGCTCCCCGCTCCCCCTCCCATCCCTTTCTTCTCCGCTCCTCTGCCCCCGGCCGCCCGGCCCCTCTGCCCGGCCCCCGCGGCCCCGGGGGCGCAGGGGAGCTTTCTGCAAGACCCAGAGGGCCCCGTCCGGGAAGGGGGGTGGGTACCAGCCCGGGCCTGGCCCCCCTCCCCAGCACTTCGCGAATGCATAGGCCCTGGGGAAGTTTCACAGAAAACAGCAGAGAAGCCACGGGGGTGACCCCTACGCACAACTCCGCTCTGCTTCCCCTCCCCTTCCCGGAGACGCGTGGGGAGAGGGGACGTGGCTTTAGTTTAAACCTGGGGGTGGGATCGCATGGGGGGTGCAGCCCGCCGTTCTCCTTAGGGAGCGCGGGGGCCTGGGTCCCCGAACAACGGCCCCGCCCCGCCCACCGGCTCGGGAAGCGAGCCCGGACCCGGGACTCCCCGGCCTGCGCGGGCGGTGGGGCAGGCGCACGCCCATCGCCCATCCTCTATGTGTGGACTTGCACGCGCGCACGGGTTCAGCCGCAGACACGCCCAGCGGGGTCGGTCACCGCCAGGCACCAGGGAGCCATCCCATCCCTGTGTCCACGCCTGCAGCCCGCGAGCGGGTGGGGTTTGGGAGGAGGTGGGGGGGTGAGAGGGGGAATGCTTTGGAGATGCTTCAGATAGTCAGGTTGTAATTTCCTTCCTGGGAAAAATGCAGGAAGCATAGACATGTGCTTGTCCCCAAAGCAGAGGAAAGGGTCATAGGAAGCAAGATTGGCTAACAGGTATGGAATTATTACTGCAAGCCAGTTCACAAGAATCGTTTTTGTTTCATCCTTACTGGGACCCTATGAGGTGGCTAGTCCGTATTCCCTTTTCCAGGTGAGGAAGGAGAGACTCGGAGAGATTGAAATGAGGGAGGAGCTGACTGAACCCAGAGGCTTGATGCTAGCGTACGAAGTGGATTCCCCTGTGCGGAAGCCCAGGTTCTTGAGCTGCTCTGACCTCGCAGACGGCACCTGCCCCTCAAGCCCGCCTGTTTTTTCTAGGCTGTGGGAGCCTCGTCATGAGAGAAAGCTGAGAACCAGGCAGGCTATGCGTTCTCCAGCCTCCTCGGAGAGCTGTGTCTCCCCAAACTCTAGCCCAGGATCATTCTGGGAAGAAGGGAAGATAGGCACCTGGGATTGCCTGGGAGGAGGACTAAGAAGCTTCTTGTTGACCACTGGTCTCAGGGTTAGGCCAACACTCTGGTCAGTCACCAGATACATCCATTCCAGTCCTGGCTTCCCCGTCCAGTACAGAAGCTTTATTTTATGTATTTATTGATTGTTCTGAGAGAGGGAAGGAGAGAGAAATACTGATTTGTTGTTTCACTTACTTGTGCATTCATTGGTTGGTTCTTGTGCATGCCCTGACCAGGAATCGAACCCCAAACCTTGGCATATCAGGACAATGCTCTAACCACCTCGGCTACCCTACCAGGGCCAGTGCAGAGGTTTTGAATGGGACTAGATATGGGCAGTTTTTCTTGCCATGGCTCAGAAAGGCTGGCATGTGGAAGAGAAATCTACTCTTCAGACTCTTTCTGCATGTTTGATTTTGGCTAATTCCTCTACCAACTACAGGGTTACTCTTCTAGGGAGAAGATTCCCTGTTTCTTTTGGGGGTGTACTTTTCATTGTGGCTGACGGTGGCCTTACCATTGAGATGAGCGTTCTTTCCCTTTAATGCCTAAGCATATTTGACCTTGCTTCCTCCAGACCCTGGACTTCATCAGGGAACAATCTGAAAAACTCAAGGTTTCCTGGAAACTGCTCTCCTCGTCCTTAAACTCTGATAGACACTCTTGCTGCTATTGCTTAGTGCTGCCGTTAGTACTTAGTAATAATTCCGTTTCTGCCAGAGAAAGGGGAGGCCTGCCAAGACAAAAATGTGGAAGTGGAGAATTGTATTTCTCTCTAAAGATAAGATGCTATCCTGTGGGACGAACTCTGGGAATCTAGAGAAGGTCTGCGTTGGGGAGAGAGTTTCGGGGAGACATGTTCAGAGCCATCTCGCTGTTGATAACTACGACGGAAAGGAGGTCACTGGTTTCTCAGCTTGCGTTCCTCCCCAAAGTTCATCCAGGGCACATCACATGGCTATGAGTGTGCCGCCCATCACTTTAAAACTCTCGGTCACCTGCTATTGCCCACGAATATGCTGCATGGCACAAGTCACATAGGGAAGGATGAGCCTTGATATCAAGAAGTATTAGACCTGCCCCAGCTAGTTTGGCAGTTTGGCTCAGTGGGTAAATTATCGGCCTTTGGACTGATGTCAATAAAAATGTATATATAGCCCAGCCAGCGTGGCTCAGTGAATCAGGAGGTCAGGGTTTGATTTACAGTAGAGGCACATGCCCCGGTTGCAGGCTGGATCCCCAGTGTGGGGCCTGTAGGAGGCAGCACGCAATGGTTCTCTCTCATCATTGATGTTTCTATCTCTCTCTCTCTCTCCTTTCTTCTCTGAAATCAATAACAACATATAAATAAATAAATAAATAAATAAGAAGTATTAGGCCAATGGCAAAGTGCAAGTTGTAAACAAGTGTGTGATCGATATTTGTATGCCATAGAGTTTCCATATAAGAGGATAGATCATTTAGTATATAAGTACAAAATATGCTTGGGAGATGGAGATTGGAACTATGAACCTTCCTCTGTGAAAAGAGGTACAAGGCACCATGGCAGTTTTTAAACTCCATTTTTATTCTTAAACTCCAAAGAGCAAGAAGAAACAGAGCCCCGTTAGCCATCTTACGTGAATGAAGGTGCCAACAGCAAGAAGTCACAGAGAGCCATCTCCTGTTCGTTCAGTCTGGCTCAAATGCTGGCTTTGGCTACTATAGACAAGGGATTGCTCACATGCAGGACAGGGCCGGAAATGCAGTTCTGTGCTTGGGAAAGTTCTCTGGTTCACCCCCGTGTCTCTGGGTGCCCTGGGCCCCTGGGTCTGAAAATCCCGAGGCCCTCTTAGCCAGCATAGCCGGGTAACATAAGGGACCCAGACCGGTATTTCACTGCATCAGTTGCCAGAATTCTAACATTTTCTCAGCCAGAGCCTTGGGAAATGGCTTTTTCACACGCACCTGATGAAAACATAATTTAGACTGGAGCGATACAGTGTTTGCATTTGTTTCAACTACCACGCCCTTTTTCTTTCTGAGTATAAAAAAATTAGAAGTGCTTATGCTGAGGGGGAAAGCTACCTCAGATTAATCATGTGAGAATATTTTTACTGTTTCCGTACCTGGGAAGTCGTTTTTCCTTGGAGCAGAGATCACCTCCACTCCTGTGGCCTTGGTCATACTGTGGCTCTCAAGTGACAATGGTCAAACCTACACACTAACTTGTATTCTACATTTGCTCCTCGGTCTAGGGCCGTGGTCGGCAAACTGTGGCTCGCAAGCCACACTCGGCTCTTTGGCCCCTTGAGTGTGGCTCTTCCCCAAAATACCACGGCCTGGGTGAGTCTATTTTGAAGAAGTGGCCTTAGAAGAAGTTTAAGTTTAAAATTTTTGGCTGTTAAAAGAAATTTCAATCGTTATTCTGTTGATATTTGGCTTTTAAGTTTAAAATTTTTGGCTGTTAAAAGAAATTTCAATCGTTGTACTGTTGGTATTTGGCTCTGTTGACTAATGAATTTGCTGACCACTTGTCTAGGGGGAGAAAATGAAACAAATTGGCCCAACAGTTATCACAACAAACAGCCATTATGTATAACAGGCTCATCCAGACTGATAAACTTAGCTGAAGCTCAGAATGATAAGGGAGCAAAGGAACTGGATGGGTACTTCATAAGAGAAGGCATACAGACGGCAGACAAACACGTAAACTTTACTAATTATTCAGTACAAAATAATAACAATATGTAACTCATCTTTGGTAGGAGGGTAAATGGATTCACAAACATATTCACCACAACATTATTTACAATATTAAAGTAATTAGAATATTTTAAAAACAATTCACAGTATTAAAATAATAAAATAAAACCTATAAGTGATGATACAGATTTTTGCTTGTTTTATTTATTTATTTATTTATTTTTAAATATATATATATATTATTTATTTATTTATTTATTTATTTATTTATTTATTTATTTTTTTTACCGAGAGGAAGGGAGAGGGATAGAGAGTTAGAAACATCGATGAGAGAGAAACATCAATCAGCTCCTCTTGCACACCTCCTACTGGGGATGTGCCCGCAACTAAGGCACATGCCCTTGACCAGAATCAAACCTGGGACCTTTCAGTCTGCAGGCCAACACTCTATCCACTGAGCCAAACCGGTTAGGGCTGTACCACAGCTTTTTTATCCACTCAATCTGCTGATGGGCAGTTGGGCTGTTTCCAGATCCTAACTATTGTAAATTGTACTGCAATGAACATAGTGGTGCATATATCCTTTCTGATCGGTATTTCTGATTTCTTGGGATATAGTCCTAGAAGTGTGATTACTGGGAGTTCCATTTTTAATTTTTTGAAGAAACTCCATACTGTTTTCCAAAGTGGCTGCACCAGTCTGCATTCCCACCAGCAGTGTACTAGGGTTTCTTTTTCTCCACATCCTCACCAGCACTTGTAGTTTATTGATTTATTGATGGTAACCATTCTGGCAGGTATGAGGTGATACCACCTTCTAGTTTTAATTTGCATCTCTTGGATGATTAGTGATGTGGAACATTTTTTTCCTATGTCTATTGGCCATCTGTGTGTCCTCTTTGGAGAAGTGTCTATTCTGGTCTTATGCTCATTTATTAATTGGATTGTTTGTCTTCCTGGTATTGAGTTGTATGATTCCTTGTATATTTTGAAAATTAACACCTTATCAGATGTATTATTGGCAGATAT